ACTTTCAGTGCTTAGACCGCAGAGCCAAGTACTCGACAGCAATGCCGAGCTTGAAAATTACCGGTATGTTATATGTGGTGCAGATGCAAGACACCGAGGGTCATGAAAGCAGGAAAATTTCACCAAAGTACCGGGTGCTGGGTTAATTAGCGCTGCTTGCATGGGAGTATACTCAGTAGATCTCAAGATGTGGAACCGAATTTTACGTTCTGGATAGGAAAATGGTCAAAATTGTCGATCCGAACGGATCGGGTTCTTACTTAGTATGTATAATACAGCTGTAAACATAATATCTTGACCGCTGCCTCGGGAACACATCTATGGAACCCGTTCTCATCCCGGTCAGTATTCCCAGCTGTTTTTTGAAAGGGAAGATCACCGGGCCGGGTCATGATCCTTGGAGGGAGCATCAAATGCAGGGGTATTGTGCATGCGTCCCATTAAATCGTTGCCTTTATTGAGCGTAGTGTAGCCCTAGGCTGCTGCGAGACAACTCAACGTCTGCAGGCGCCCGAGTCTCTTGAAAAACAAGAAAGCAGGACGTCCAGGGGCGGCAGCCGCTTCAAAGTTAGGCCACTAGTGCTGGAGACTTGTGCCAAGAGACCCGCCACATTACTGAAGACAAATCTTCTTCTCGAAGGCGGCCTATCCGGAATCCAAAACAAGGCAGGAAGCTAAAGTGGCTGTCTTGTGTAGTCTACACTATCCCATGTTGCGATTAGTTATGAGACGCACGCCAGAAGCACCGGCTCCTCTCCCTAGAGTGGAAACATCTAGAATACGTACTTTGCTTTCGTCACGTATCATATGTACCGTATGTGATACCAACCAGCGAAGGGGAAATGATGATAAAATGAGATGGCCTGACTGAGATGGTCTGATATGCACATTATCACGGAGTTGTATTGACAATGGCTACCATACCAGCTTGCAATTATACTAAATACTGTATAACATTTAACATAAATTGCTTGAGTTGTCAATGGTCAATTGGAGAGGCAGTTCTACATTAGCGCAGTGTACACATGCAACGACTTCAGCATATTTCCCTTGCGCCGCACATAGTATACATGAACAATACAGCTGTATACTATGCACGCTTCATATGTGCTTGCAAAGAAACTAGAAGCCGTTAGGTACTCCGCATCGCCCTTTGTATATTCAAATCGACTTTGCCAATCATAGTCCATTCCTGCCAGCCCAAAGTAGATACCCCCCGGACATGCCAAGAGACAGAAGCAACAATGAATCCACATCGTGATCGTGTACGTGGAAGATTTCTGTTTCCGCTAACTCCTGTGGTGGGACGCCTTGGGAGGAACAGCACGAGGAATCTAGGCGGTGGGGATTGTGGGTAGGATTATTGCAAATGATACAGCCGAGATCGATCTTCGCTCTCTCAGCATACATACCTATCGAGATACGGTACACTCTGAAAACCAAGCATTTGGGAGTGATCGTGATTCGGCAACAGGAACCTGACTTGTCCTGCTGGAACATTACACCCAAGGGACATGTATAGTGTAGGTGAACCGGCGATCTTCTCAACCTAATTTGCCTCATGCAGCAATTGGCCAGCGGCTAACCGAGGTACTCGACTAAGGCTTATTGGGATACCTATCGTGCTGGGCGTCTCTCACACGATACCTGGAGACTTGGAGGATGCCACCTGCATGGCGGTATGAAGTCAGCCACCCAGGTATGACCAGGGCGGAAGCAAGGTCACCGTCTTGAGGAGCAACTAGTACGTGCAGACATATCGACGATCCTCATTCAAGAAAAGAAGAGTGCGGCCAAGATATCCAGCAATCGTCGATTCCTGGACGTCTATATAAGGAGGTCAACATCGCCCTCGACAGACACATTCTCTTCTCCTCCTCACCCCAAGCCAGTATCCCAGGAAGCATCCAATCTTCACACTCATCAACAATCTTCAATCACTTTGTTTGAAAAACACCACTTCAAAATGCAGACCTCTCTGATCGCCATCCTCGGCTTCATTGCCACCACCGTCACTGCTTCTCCCACTGGTGGCCAGCCCGCCGCTATTTGCCCTGTCGGCCTCTTCAGCGTTCCCCAGTGCTGTGCTACCGATGTCCTCGGTGTCGCTGACCTCGACTGCGCATCTCGTGAGTAACATTTATTAGAACATGTTCTTGTCGACAATATTGCAGCCGGCAATTCATAGTCAAGTTATCAAATGAATCCCTCAGCTAACAGGGTCGTTTTAGCCCCGTCTTTCCCCCAGAACACTCAAGACTTCAAGAACACGTGCGCCAGCATTGGCCAGCGAGCCCGCTGCTGCGTTCTCCCAGTCGTAAGTACCTCAATGTCGTGGTAAGAGATTAATATACTGACTTATCGTGCACAATAGCTTGGCCAAGGTGTTCTCTGCGAGACCCCCCCTGGACTCGGTGGACAGTAAATGCCTGATACACACTTGACCGATACAGAGCCACTGCTGCTCCGCTAGTGATGTATGGACAATAATGAGACTTTATCGTACTTAGGATGGAGTGATGGAGTAATATGGGCTGGGTTCTCCTTGGTGATGCTTGCTTGGGACACTGGTCGAGGTATCCACTGCTTCGGTCGAGGCCACAGGAAGCATGGAGCTGGGATACATAGTTAGCACAGAAAACTTGGTCTATGGATAGTTTCTTAATGAAAATATTTCTTTGATCAAAAAAATCTTCTCTTTGGCCGTTCACTACTTACATTGCAATTCTAAATGGATTCAACAGCTCATGCAAAGCCATCATTGTCTTTCTCGCCTGATATAAGGTGAAAATCTTTCTTAATGATATCTGTATCAGAAGGCTCTCTTAGTTAGTATGGTAGTAATGTATACTCAAGGCATACCTGACGTTACACGTTAGTCTTGTTCCCCCTGTGAGCTATGTCAGCATTTCGGTCTCATCGCTCTCTTTTAGCCTCAACATACCTGTCGAATCAAAATGCGACAACGGCTCCGGGGACTAGGTTTAATAGCTAATAGACGACTATTCCATGAATAACAATAATTTCCTATGACTCAGAGCCAGAAAATTATGCGACGGATATATGTCGAATTTCCCACGTGATTTTCTTAGTCATTAGTTAAGCTCTTGATGTGAAACAGAAGATGAGATGTGATTCTTCCAAACGTGCACCTTGTCCGGTCTGCTGCAGCCACACACACCTCCTATACCATTCGCAACGCTAATTCTAAGACATATGACATACAGTGCTCGTCATCGCGCATGCATATGTAACCAAGGCCACTCGTCCGCCTATACTACTTAGACTAATGGCCCCCCACGGGGGTGACCGCGCTATATATCGCCACCCTACCTATAAAGCGATAGCAACAAGCCACCGATTCTCTCCTATCCCATGGTGTTGGTAAGGCTACTGGTGCTGTACGCCTTCCCTCAAGCCTTTAGAATACCACACAAATCGGATCAGTCACCGAGGCGCCTCTTATTTTCATTATAGATCGTCCCTTCACCGGCTGAGAAAGATGTTACACAGAAGCATCTAAGCCGCTTGGGGGTAAATCTCCGGACTACCTGTATACATTCATTGGAAATGTCTTATCCTCAAATCGTTTGTAATTAGTAACGTTATTATACGCATGCTAGGAAGCAGCTTACGGTATTCTACAGCTGCAGTTTCTCGCATACTTCGCCTTTACAACCACATACCTGATACCGACTGACACCAATGAGTGTACTCCACGTTACCTATAGAAACACAAAACGGCTGCTGGTAGCAGTGAGGCTTCCGACAAGCTGTGTTTGAAAGGCCGAGTAACAGCAGTCTTTATCACCATTCTACCGTATCCCTGTAATAGTACTCGGATTTCAGATACACCAAGTATTACTACGTGAGAGCGCCTGAATACTCTCTCAGGTGTAATATCTCAACAGATAAACGTACCACATTTCTCCATACCAGCATTCTATAGATTTCCTATAAGAAATGTGAACCTAAAGTAATCGGAATAAAATATGGTAGCTATTAGATAGATCCTGCCATTTCCGCGGGAATGGCGCAATTCCCAAAGACTACTGTTTTAGCCACACCTTCTCGAGGACGACGTTGATATTTAGTCCTTCGAGCTAAGCTAGCTGGCCACGTTTGCGGGACGTCCCGCCATTGCACACCTTAGCGCTGTACCTACATGTATTCCCCAATTAGGTATGGAATGCAGTTTCCAAGTAGTTTATCATCAGCTATGCGCACAGCTCCTAGTTAGGGCTAGTGGCAAGACGCCATTTGGCATCATATATCCTGGATTTCATACGTCGCCTCCGTCAGGATACCTTAACCTGTGCCCCTATGACTTCTACCTAGGCAGTTATATGGTGGGATATATGTTGTTTAATGAGCCCATTACATGCTAGATTCAAAATCGGCTATTGAACAAGATGAACCATTATTATACGGAAGCGTGGGTTTGTAAGATCGGAATAGCAAGGAATGATTGTTGTGATTTGGAACACGGTGTTGCCGGGCTGCTCATATCCTATCTACCATGACCCCGTGTCGAAGGGACGTGAGCGTGTCGTACTCAGGTGATAATGTTGTGCCAAACTTATATACTAGGAGCAACCTGGTTCGTAGGAAGAGGTGTCCTTCAACATAATCCAAGAGTAGTAAGTACAATAGAGCATGAGGATGTTGATGTCCAGGCGACAGAGTATTAGATGAGACTTGTATGCAGTATACTCCGGTGCTGCTTCAATATAGAAGAGCGAGCCATTATGATGTTGGATTTCGTAGATTCTGCAACTGAAGTTGAAAGAGAGAAGTGTCTATTAACAGAAACTAAATAAAGAGAAAAGATTCGTAAATGTTGCGATACGACTCGTAGTATAAGAGATACGTATGTTTATCTTTGAACCTCGAATACGAAAGGGATCGAGTCCTCTGTGCGACAAAAAGAACTCGCACATACTCATCCTCCTGGCTTACAAAGACCTGACAGTACATATAGAAAGATAAAACGAGATAGCAACCCATTAGGGGATTCGAACCCCTGCACTCTCGCTGACCAGACTACAGACCGGAAACGAACGAGCTAACCACTGCTCCAAATGGGCTTCACGGGTCTTCTAAGAGTATGTGGAAATGCTCTGTAAAGTCTGTAATACCTTTGGCCATATGCGTGGCCGCCAAAAAGAGGTACAGCCACTCTGGGGGATGCAGGAAGTACATGGCAGTGTCCCGGTGTAAAGATGCAGATGCAATGCACGGAATCAGAGATAATATGCGTCCGAAGCACACATGATGCTGTATTTAGGTGTGTTAATATGTGGAATCCGTGGATTACCTCACAGGACGTATGGTAAGTATCGACTTCCAATACCGAGAAGGACGTCAGTTCAATCTCCTGTGGACTAGGTAGGTAGATACACTCTATTAGTGACTCCCTATCTATATGATGAAGTTTGATTTTCAGCCAACAAGAGTGACTTCATGTCACTACTTTAGGTTAAGATAGATAGGACTTTTGTGATACATCGGGGACCAATAGTATCCGGTGGGTATTGAAAGTGAATGTGATGTGTTTACATACTCTAATTAATAACTAGGACATAGCCATACAGGTACTGCTTAGTCTAGGTAGGATAATGCAGACAGAAACTGTTCAGTGTCATGAGTTTCAGAAGTGGCTACAGTTGTTACTGTACCGAGGCCTAAGATTATAAGGTATCACAATTTCTAAGCGGTCAGTAAATTCATATTCATGAATTTTAGTCCAGGTATAATACCATGTTCGATCACACTATAGTGGTCATATTGTACTTGTGAGTACTCGGTGTTTGGGGGCGAAAGTGAACTTCTCCTACGCAGGTTGAATGGGGAGGAGTTTACAGAAATCTATGTCTGTCAAGGAGTTTGTTATGTTCGGTAATCTATATAGGCAAGATCTTCAAAGATGGAGGTAGTCTTTTTTCTTGATCAGGTTGTGCGAACAATATTTAGAGCGTCATGTAGTGACAACAGTATTCTAACCTGTATGAGAGTCTCATAGTCGGAATATTCTTTGTTACGCGAGGGTTCTAATTTATCTTCTGGGTGATCTCTGTTGATGATCTGAAACTGGGTATACAGGATAGCCTAAGTGTATGCGGTAAGGTTGACAGTGGGTTTGGTCTGAGGGCTTGATCAAAAGATTTCGAATTTCTAGTTACGTATTCTAGAGTTTTCCTGCTACAACCAGGTCGTAGAGGGTTTGAAAGAGCGCAAACATGGCATTAGTGCAAAGTTACATTTTAGGAGGTATGACTTGACTCCAAGTTCTACCAGCATGTAACTGGTTGCCTACATTATTTCAAATGTTACGGCTGTCAATTTATCTATATCCAAATTATTAGGACTATATAGGCGTAATAGTCAATGACCTACGCGGTTGTACAAAAGATTTTAGCGAGGTTTGTTTGGTATGAGACTTTTTCGGGGGAGAGGAGCTAGGTTGATTACCTTATCAATAAACTCTCAGAATATTTCCTCCAAGGATATCAAGGGTATATAGTTTGCAACTCCAAGTTAGACTAGTCATGCAGACTTAGGTCATTTAACCCTACTTCGTGGTCATTACGATGTACCCGAATATGTACCAACGTCTAATGCTTGCGCATACAATGAGTCGGGGGGACCGATCCCCTCAATATTCTAACTTTAACAATAACCTAATCAGTATTCTATGGGGGTATACATAAAGCAAATCAACCTTTTCTCTAGACCACGTAATCAGCCACCTAACCCGCCCTCATTTCGGAAGCCTCATCAAGGATATACCTGGCGAGTTTCGCCCACGCAAGTCCATTGATGCGGCATGCAGCCGGTTTCTATCGTGATGACCCTGTTCCACTGGAGATAAAGGCCCCTGGTGATCTGCCTGTGCGTGTCTGCGCGGTCGGGGAAATGATCCGCTCACGCTCATCTTCCTCGGTCGCATCTTGGGTGGCGGAGAAGAAATGGGCGTTGTGTTCTGCGACGATGCGGAAGAGGTAGAACCAATGGACGAGTCGGAGCCCCGAGTATTGTTAAGGGAGAAGATGCTGGACCGTCTCATTGCTCGCCTGTTGTCTTCTTCGAGCCGTAGTCCTTCCCCGAGCTCTGAGAGAATATCCTGGGCTGATCGTCGCTTATCGCTCTGTTTGCCCAACCTCATCTCCCACCACTTCCTACCGTTCCCAGGCGGCGAATACTCGACAAGTGTATCGAGGGCCTCTTCCACCTTCTGCATCTTCTCGTCATTTAACTTAAGATGAGAGTGCTCCGACGCAAGCTCCAAAAGCGCACACGCGTCTCCCGCTTCTCTGTACTTGCTTGTGTCCGATTCATGAAGGCCACAGGCGTCTGCCTTGAAGACGATAAGATCCGAAAGGGATATATACGGCGGCTTCTTGATGTCCCCGACGTCGGGTAAGTAAGGGCAAAGCCACACAGGCGTGATCTTCACTTCGATAACCCAACCAGCTGGGCTCTTATAGAACAGGCCTCGGTCATTCTCAACGATAGTCTTCTTGCCATGAGCGTGAGAGAGGAGTGCCTTCTTTACGGAGCCTGGTGATGCGTATTTGATGACGAACTCTATGCTCTAACGGGAGCAATCAGCACTCAGCGCGCCATAAAAAGGGAACGGTTTCATCTTCAACTTACATGTACTTCACAGGGTCTTGATTGTGATAGGTATTTCGCGACAGCTAAGTCGCCCACAAGGACAAGTGGGACATTGACAAGCTCAGCTACACCATGTATGAGGTGGATGACTGAGAGCGCAGCTGTCTCGAGCTCGGCGATGGAAGGTTGAGCCATACCTGACGATGAGTGCGGCATGTTGAGAGAAAGGTTGTAAAGCTGTTTCGCCAATGAGCAAGCATAATGACCGCTTAAACAGTCATTTCGACTAGATTTAAGTCAACGTTAAGGGTTACGGGCCTCCGAAACTCAATCTGAACCTACTAAATTGGGCTGGCGTTTGATACCTAACAGGCCTAACTAGGCAAATACGGCAGCCCGAAACAAGGATCATGGCCAATAGGAAGCCGGGGTCGGCTATATTAATGTTATTAGTCTGGTCTCTGTTGTACCCCGAATGGTGGTTGTTCCCCCTTTACTGCCCCTGTAATAACGGTTGTGCTAACTGTCAGACGATCCTTCCAGGCAGATCGCAAAGCCGCCCAGTCCTCGAGGGATCTGTAATAAAAATTTTTCCGTCTCGAAATAGATAGCTATTGGGATTTTTTTCTGCGGAATGCGACCGTCTACTTGATGACGGAAGACGCGCTGACGAATTGTCACTCAGCGTGGCTGGCTCGGGAAATGAACGGACCCGCCTAGACCAGGACAAGCAGTGGACGTTGGACACCAACTCGCAATGGGCTTACGAAAACGCGACAGCAAATAATTCGGACGACGCGGATAGCACGCTTCAACGCGCACCGTCACAAGTGATTGCCATACCGGACATCTGTCCACCCGGGGTTTACCCTTTCTTCTCATGAGTCTACATGTATTGTATTTGGCTATTATGTGCTATTTTAACTCGCTACAGCCCTTCGCAACCTACAGGTGTATTGTGAGCCATGTAGCATGCCTACCTAAGTAATGCAATTAATCAAGAAACCATAATTCGTAGTCTCCGATACCTACTTACTTACGTAGGACTATATAGGCGATAGGTGAAACATAGTGAGAGATTCTTGGTGAGCAAACACGGTCGTCATACCTGTGTAGCTCTGATGTCACGTCCTTCATTTATTCAAACGCCGTAATCCCGCCCGGGCACAGATTCGCGGTTTATGTGACTGTAACTCAGTGCGCCTTAGCTACTGAGTAGATAGAGGTTGACTTTACGACACACGTAGGTCACTGACCCATCATGCGCAAAGGGTATCGTCATATCGGGGTTCATCCTGGATGTACTGGTATTATAATTGACTTTAAGGCTATCGAAGGAAGCTTAGCGATAGGTGCGCACTGATACCTGCCGACGTTGCGTTGGCCATACCTCTACTTTGGGATTGCGTAATTGAGCACCCAGTTGTGTTATCGCATGATCAAAGCGGCCTTTCATTGATGGTCTTCTAGCCTAGTGACTTACTATTATGATGCAGTCTCAAGGAAACATCCATGAGTACCTAGATAATCTACATGCTTAGGTTACCACTATATTCCGCCCCCCTGCCGTTCCGCATATCAGTCATTTAACCGTACACTAACTATTTAGGTGCATTCATCAGTGAGCCACTTTCATCAACAAGACCACTTGATGACCCGTAATCGGTAGAAAGCAACGCCTGTGAACAGTTAAGCATTCAACTCAAGAGGAAAGCAAGTGACCGTAACTCAAATTCTGACGATAGCAGCCTCTGAGCGATCTCGGCAATTATTATATGGATGCTTATCCGCACGAGCTCGGCTCACCAATTCAGATGTGATGTGAGATCAAGATTCAAGAACTCAAACAGCTCTACGAGCTATACCGGCGTCTGCCTATTTGAATACCTAACGTGATTGATTTAATTGCCTAGTTATGGGATCTTAATTAGTACTCGGCTATAGTGCTTCGTTTGTTCAATGTATCGATAGACTATGTTGTCTAAGATTGTTTTGAAGTTGCTGCACCTCTATCCGGAGCATCGCTTAAGAAGCATAGGCGCTTGAGGTATTACAGCTGCTTTAGTTTGGATCTTGGTATGGGCGACTACTTTGATCTTCTTATCTTTCATTTTCTAATTTCTTTTTCCTTCTCATAATTTATTTATTTGACTCTTTCGATATCGATTTGTGCAATTTGATGTCATTGAGCTCAATACTCAGTCATACGCGATGGGCTACAAGGCATACTCCAACTAAGCAAATCCTGTCGCGCTTCATTATATACCTTATGTATCTGATGTAGAGTATCTCGTCTGGCGTAGTACAAATAGGTAGGGCTTTCTCAGGGCTGCAGATCTTTTACTACCTGTTTACGTTTCTCATTGTCCAAGCTTTGTAATCCCCGTGTTAGCTTATCGATGTGGTCATAATGAGACTGATGAGTTTAAGCAGTAAAGCTGCAGGGTCAATAAACTGGTGATTTCGCTGT